AAGTTTAACATATGAACCCTTAAGGGGACACACTGAAGCCATATCTAAACTATACTATGAACATAAGTTCCCACCCTTGAATTTGGCTGGACTCATGACTTGCTTTGTCCAACAGAATGAGGAAGTGACACTCTGTGTGTTGCAGACCTAGGCTTTAATAGTGTCCTCTGTTTACCCACTTCAAAGTTTGGCTAGACCATTGGGATAATGAGAGATCGCATAGGCAGATAGAGAGAGAAAGAGAGGCCATGTGGAGGAGGATCAAGTTGTTTTGGTCAACAGCCAGTACCAACATCCCAGTGTGAGGCCATCTTGGATCCTTTAGTACCAGTCAAGTCCCCAACTGATGTCCAAGGGGGACATCATGAACCCCCCTCAAGTTTCTGACCCCAAGAATTGACAGCAGAAAGATCACAGCTACTTTACGTCACTATGTTTGGAGATGATTTACTCTGCAGCAAAAGAAAACTACAACAGGTGTCATGTGGTTCTCTCTGTCTCTACTGAACTGGTCCACTGGCTACACACCTGGGTTTCTACAATATCAGTTCAGCATTATTGTCAATTTGTTCCTGGATCTCTCCTAATTATTATTCCAAGATACAAAGTTACTACTTTATATAAAATGTTCTTAACCACATGAGAGAATACTATTTCAGGTACTGTGGAGACATATTTAAGTCCTGAATTAGGACCTGTTTCAAGCAAGACCTGTTATCAAATGCAAAGGTGCTGCTGGAAGGCATTTTGGCAAGTGGTGGTTCAGGATCTTGTCCAATTCCTGACACTGAAAATTATAGAGAAAAGTAGTCACTTCTAGAATAGCTGTTTATGAGCGAGAAACAAAGAGAAGAGGGAGGTGGAGAGAGAGAGAGAGAGGAAGAAAGAAGAGGAAGAGGGGAATGGGGGAGAGTGAGAGGGGAGAGAGAGAGAGACAGAGAGAGAGAGAGAGAGAGAGAGATCCTAAGGGAATGGTATTAAATACTATTAACCAAGGCTTTAATATTGTGGATTTTAAAGAACAAGTCTTTGACCATATTTCCTAAGAATATAAAAATGCTCTGGATTTAATGGCTAAATTTAAGTTTTATTGGCAGGTTTTTATTCAAAGTGTTCTCCCCAGAAAGCTAGAGACCAGTGTATGGGTAAAGATGGTAAACACTAGAAGCTTCTAAAGGAAATCAAGATAGCAGCCTCCATGCTTTGCATCAGGGCATCCCTGAAGCTACATTTAAAAAGGAGGCAAGCTGCCTATTCTAAGTTGTTTTTATTAGAAAGACAATCCTAATGAATATTATGGACTTTCTCCCCAGAATAACATACATATACAGGTCTTGCATATAACACTGGCCCACCATGAAACCCAGATTAAAAACTCTTATCTTGATGGTACACTAACTCCATCATGACTGGAGACTTGGTCTGAGGAGCCAGCCTTCATCCTGGTATGTTTTTCCCTCACACTCCTTCACTGACTCCCAAAGGATCCACAAGACCATAAATCCTACTGTGATTCATTCCACTCTCTGGCATGGACCAATGAAAAACATATATTAAAGTACTACAATATTCTTTATATGTACAACACCAAATCAACATCAAAGAATAACATAATTTGTAACCCACCAAACTAGGTTAAGTATTTTCATCAACCCCTGCCCATATATTTATGGCCTGTCATGCATTTCATATTTCTATCTCTATGTGTTGTGCCCAAGATGGGATGACTGTTCATACAAGTTTCAATACTGGTAGGCCCCAGGATATTCAAAACAGTTAAGAGTTAAAAAACCATTTGACATTGCTTGTTTTAGGGACATCAAACAAAATCAAACATCTCATTCCTAGAACTTTCTCAACATTTTAAATAATTTTATTTAAGAGGTAATTAAACTACAAACAATACTATTAGGGGGAGGGGCACATTTGATATTCAGAGACAGACTTGAGCTCCACTTCCAAAGATATCTGTTGAGACTGCTAAAAATAATGATTTACAATTACTGAAGCTTACTATCAGCCAGGACCTTCGGTACATCCTTTACATAAATCACCTTATTTAAATCTCACAGAAGTAACAAAAGAAGGAATGTGGAAGACTGGGGAATTGATCATCAACTTGCTTCCCTTTCCTCTGAGCACACAGGTTGCATTTCCCAGCTTCCACTGCAGTTAGATGTGGTCATGTGACTGGCCCGGTCAGTTGAATGTGGAAAAAAATAAAGCAAGCATCTTCTAGGTGTGGTCCATAAAACCTTCCCCACTCTTCCATGCTCTCTCCTTTCTCCATCTGCTGGCTGATTGTGGAGAAGAGTGGAAGGCAGAGCTACAAGATGGAAGGTATCTGGATTGCTGAGTCACTGTAGAGGATGCTACCCTGAGAACACCTGCACTGAACTGTTTTGTGAGCAAAAGACAAACATCTCCAGTCATCAGTCACTGATACTATTGAGAAGTTAAGTAATCTAGATGCTCACAGTCACATATTATTAACTGCTGTTATATTCTGTTCTCTTTTCACAGGTTCATTTTTATTATAGAGAGCATAAACTGCTCCTACATCTGATTTCCTACACTTGAGGAATGTTAGCAGATTGGGCTCCAACGTTGGGGATAGAAAGAAGACATTTTCCTTCAGATAAAACATTTTATTTCTCTATTTCTCATTAACCATGTAAGATGGGGACTGTGATGCTTAAACAACTTTGGAGGATACTTTTTTACCTTGTGAAAGTTTATATTCAGAGATTTAGTAGTTATATAATATTCCATAACAAATTATTCCCAATCCCAGTGGTTTACATCAACAAACATTTATTAGGTCTTCTAGTTCCTGTGGGTCAAGAATTGAGAAAGGGCTTATTGGGCTGGTTGGGACTCAAGATCTCTCATGAGGCTGCACTCAAATGTTGTCTAGGGCTGTATCACCTGAAGGCCCAGTTAGTGCTGGATGGCACCCTTCCAAGGTAGCTGGCTTGAATGACTGGAAAGTTGGTCTGGTTGTTGACAGGAAGCCTCAGTTTCTCCCCCAGAGGGCTGCATGACTTTCCTCACAACCTGGGCTTACCAACCAAAAAGTTGAGCAGGTCCAGAACCCATGGCAAAGGTGCAAGGCCGTTCATGACTAGTCTTAGAAGTCATGCTCCATTACTTTTGTCATACCCTACTGACCACACAGCCCAGCTCTATTCAGAGTTGGAGCAGACTATGCAAGGGAGTGAATACCAGGAGAGAAGGCTCACCGAGTCATTTTGGAGGCTGGCTGTTCTATTCATCCAATACCTATGTCCTGAATGTCTATCAAGAACCTGGACATCAAGCAGTGAACAAAATAGATAAAAGTCCCTGTCTTATGGAAAAAAACAAGGGAAAGGGGGAAAAGGATGGTGGAGGCTAGGACTGTTTTTTTTTTTTGGCAGTGCTGGAATTTGAACTCAAGGCATTGTGCTAGCTAGGTAGGCACTCTACCTCTTTTGTCAAAACTCCCAGCCCTTTTTGCTTTAACTATTTTTCTAATAGGGTCTCGCATTTATGCCCTGGTCAGCCTGAATCATGATCCTCTTATTTATGCTTCCTGTGGATCTGGGATGACAGGTGCATACCACCATGCATAGCTTTTTATTGTTGAGATAGGGTCTTGCAAATGTTTTGCCTGGGTGGTGTTGAATTGTGATCCTTCCAATCTCCACCTCCCAAGTAGCTATAATCACAGGTATGAGCCACCATGCCTGACCTTTCTGTCATTTTAATTGGAGAGATCTAGGTGGGCCTCACTAAAAATATCTGAAGGCAGTGAGAAAACATACCATGTGGTTTTATGGAGGAAGATTGTTCCAAGTAATGAGGACAGCAATTGCAAAGGTAGGAGTGTGTCTGTCATATCCAAGAAAGAGCAGGCAGTCAAGGTGGCTATTGGAGAGGCATGGGAGATGAGATTGGCTTAATAACAGCAGGAGACAGAGACCATGTAGGACTTAGAGGCTCCTATAAAGACTGACCTTCATGTGAGTGAAATCAGAAGCCACTGGATAGTTCTTAGCAATAGACAACTGACAGGATGGGATTTACTGTGTCAAAAAGTCTCATTGCAGGAGCTGATATCAAAATAAACAGGCCAAGAAAGAAGCAAGGAAGCAAATTAGGAGTTGATGGTGGCTTACATTAGTATTATCAGTTGTAGGTATGAGAAGTGGTTATAGTCTAGATATATTTTGTGTAATTAATTCACCATTCTAGGCAAAGTTTTTCTTTAGAAAGAGCAGCAAAAATTTAGATCCCAGCGTTGTGGCTGCCAAACGTTGAGCTGGTGAACCGTGTACAGGTTCCAAGAGCACATGGAATTTGCTACTAAGAGCAATGAGGTCACAGATGAGGGAAGCTCAGTGTCCCCTATTCACACTTTTATGAAGGCAGCTCTGTGTTAGCATGCTTCATAATTTGGGGCAGGAGGAACCTTCTCCTGCCAGAAAAAGCAAAGATGAACTATATACATATACACACACTGTATGAAAAAATAAGTCATCTATAAAATCAAAAGACAAATTAAAAGAATAATATTTGCAACACAAATGAAAAAAGCTTAATATTCTTAATATATAAAACTCATAAATTCCTAAGAAGACAATCAAGTAAAAATTTGGCAAAAGGTATTTCCAAAACAAGGTTCCTAACAGTAGCCCTTCACTGGACCGTTGAGGATAAAATGGCAACATATGCAAAGTGCTCAGCATAGTTCCCGGCATAGAATAAATGCTCAATAAATGTTACCCTACCCCTGCCACTGCCACCCTAACCATATGGGTGGTTCACCATTCCTGCTGTTGCCACCTCCCTCAAGGAATAAGGCCTACCATTACCACCAAGACCACCACAATCAGCAAGTTCACCACCTTAGTGTAAGAATCATTAACAATGCAAAGCTGAGTCAACCCTGAAGGTCAATTCCAATAGATCTTCCCCCAAAGTAAACTCTTTTCTGCAAGGGCTCAATTAGATATTACCTTTTCATGGTTCTCTATTAGGATCTCAATGACAATGTTCTGAAATTTGATATCCATGATGGCTGCCACTGTTTCTTCCTGAGGCCTCAGAAGGGTGGGTCCAAAAACCACTCCAAGGTTTGCCACAGTCATCAGATTCTGCTTGTGATTATTAGCAACACTAGGAAGAAGGGGGGGAAAAAAAGGCACAAATGAGAGAAATAGTGCATGCAGAGATAGCTGAGGTTCCTGTGTCCTATGTCTATCTTCCTATGTGTAGACTCCTCTATAGGAACCAGAACTTGGGGCATCTGTAGATACCATGAATCAAGAGAGATTTTTCTACTTGTTTTTCATCTACTAAAGTTCTTAAATCTTCATTTGACATCCAGGCTATTTTGTTATTTCAGGATATGACACACCCTATGATTTCCATTTTGCCTAAAACAACCAATCACCCAACCAACTGGCCAAAGCAACTATCTGCTGAAATACAAACCTTTGCACATCTGAATCCCTATTCCACAAATCCAGGTAACTGCTAATCCCTTGTAGTTACAACTTCTTGGCTACTGCTTAAATAACTGTACTCATTAACATTTTCTCTAGTACAAATATAAAAACTCTTGACAGCTTTAATTCATTTGCAAACACAAGCACAAAATAGACCTAATTTTTAAAATGGCAGATCTGGAATTTAAAAATCACATCAGGAAATTTAGCACTTCAGACTCTAAGTACTAAAGTCCCATCCAATTAGACATGTGGCTCACATTAAGTGAAACATGTGGCATAAACAGAAACAATTCAGTACTGTATGTCCATGTATATGACTGTGTTTATATTGTCACATACTCAACATTTAAGGAACTCACAGGATCAGCAGTAGCTAAGTCAGAGTAATTTGCCAAATTCATATGCATATTTTTGGATAAGCAATTATTTAAAACATGTATCTGAACTCCATGCCCAAATCTCCATGACTTAGCTATAAAAACTCAATTGTTCACTGACTGGCCCTGTGTATAAAACATACAAGTGGTCTACCAGCAACAAATGTGTTAAAAGTTCATGCCACTCAGTATTGTTAAGAAAATATCAGGAGCTTCCCTGAATCACCTGCTAGAAGAAGGAAGCTATTCATGACTAAGTTGAACCTAAAGACAAACTGGGCAAAGATGGGCAGTTTGCACAGGCCTGCCTCTCCAGCATTTAGTGCTATTTATACTGAACATTTTTTCACACAATCCTATCAATGCCTGTACTGTTTCTGTTATACACTTCTATTATGTACCTTAAGTGCTGGTTTCTAAACTGAGCCTTCACTGAAATATTACATCAACCAGTTTTATCAGCAGATGTGTACTTTTCCATAATTTTTTATGCTAAGAGTTTAACTTCCTCCTTTGGAGGAGGCAAGGTGTGGTTAGGGGTATAGAACTTTAACTGTGGTAGAGTCCAGGAGGAGGAAAATTTGTTTTTGGATTGCTAAGCAACACCTGCAGCAGAGAGAGTTGCCACAGATAACCTGGCCTGTTTTGGGTCTACAAAAGGATATTTTATAAACATTTTCTTAGTTTTACCTGGGTCTGCTGGGTTTACTTGGTGTTTTCCATCTACCCAGAACAAACCTCAAATTGCCAATCTGAAAGAGTTAATGCAGTCAAACTAGGACGTGGCAAAGAAGAGAGACTTTGGTTCAGTGCCTCAGTCAATCAGCAAGTGGGCATATTTACAAGCTTCTTAAAGCACCACTGCTTTCCACATCTGCTCCTGTGTGGGGGAAGGGAATTCTCTGTCCTTATGCTTCCCCTCCCAAAAGAACTAAGACATTAGACTTACCCCTCATTTCACATAAGTCCCTTGTAACTCAGTATGCTAAAGCTATGCAAGCTATTTCTATATGAAAGCCTTTCAAATTGCATGCCAATATAAAAATATAATGGTTTGGATGATGACCCTTTGCCCACCTTTCCACACTGTATCTGACTAACATAAAAGTCTTCTAACTCGGCTCCTGACAAACATCTCTACATTCAGCTTTGTCCCTTGCCACCGTTACTGTCTGAAATGTAGCTCTAATCTGGCCATCACTCCTCTTCTAAAAACAACATGCAACACTTGCACATCTCTCCTGGTCGTTGGAAGGAACACAAAAATGTGTTTTTCAGCAACACTTCTGTTGTTCAGTTGTTCTAATAATGATGACAATAAATCTGTGATGGGTCCCTTTTTTGTTTTTGTTTTGTTCTGTCTTGTTTTCAGTGCTGGAGATCAAACCCAGTGCCTGGCACATGCTAGTAAGTGGTCTACTGAGCTACATCCAAAGTTGGAATTCTTACAAATAGTATACCTTCCCCAACTCATCTCTAAGCCTTCCTCTGCTACCTCCCAGCTCTGGATCACTGGGAAAGCTACTTGGTATGCTAAAACTCTAAGCATTAGGTTCCTCCTTCTAAAAAGTAGGGACAGTTCAGGTGAATGACACACTTCCTTCATGACATGTCATACAGATTATATGTGATTGTGCATGGGAAATGCAGTGATAAGGATAATAATTCACTCTGTCCTCTTTTCCTTTTCCCATCTTTCTCCCTTTATCCATGTCATTCCTCTGCCTAGAATGATCTTACTCTTTTTTCTTTTTTTGCAAACTTGGTATGCAAGGCTCAGCTCAAATGTCCCCCTTCCTTCCTGTCCCCTGCCTGGTCTCTTCCAGCCCTACCCCCTGATGCAGGTAGACAAGTTGGTCTGCTCCTGCATTTATCACTCAGTATTGATGTCTCTACCACTGCCCGAGGACAGCGACTGTGATATTTCACTTGGTCGAACTAGCACTGAGCATAGTGCTTGGCACAGGAGAAGCACAGTGAATGCTAACTGAAGGGTTTAAAGATGAGAGGAGCTTCTTTGGAGACATGAGACTCTTATTCTTAACCCAGCTACTCCTCATAAAACCTCAAATTATTTTTGATGATTTTGGGGGAATGATTCTGAACTATTCCAACTTTCCTTTCCCAAATCTCAAGCTGTTCTCCTTCTTAGATTTAATTAATGAGTAATAATTACTCAGACTTGCAGGCCCCAACACCCAAAGGCATTCGTAAAAAAAAAAAGGAACAGTAATTCTGGATCAGCAACTCTGAATATAAATAGACTCAAAGCTATCCAACAGGATTCATTTCCCTTTTAATGATCCATTTTATTTTGGAACTTTAAAAACACATTGATCTAAGTTTTAGGAAACTTTTGGGAAAAACCTGTACCTTTCCACTACTAACTACCATTATCTTTTGGCACACTGAAGTAATAAATTGATCTGTCACTTGATTATTACAGCTCATGACTTGGTACAGCTAGGTTCATTACTCCAGGATGAATTATTAATGATTTGAGATCTCTATGTATCCCCGAGAGAAAGGCCTAGACCTCAGCCTCTGTTGGCACTAGCCATGTATTACAGCTTGATGGATTTACAGATGTGTGGGAAGCAGGCTGGCAGAGCTCTAAAAAGCTGGTCCAGCACAGGCCACGGGACCCATTCATTAGTGAGGTCCATAAACCATTGAGAGCCTGCTTTCTGATCTGGTAATTGAGCTTCCTGAGCTCTCCCTCACATAGTTCAGCATGTCATGTTGAGTCTTGACTTAAAATCCACACACAGATGTTTCTTGTGCATCACGTACCTCACTGAAAGAGCATTTGACACGTGATTGTCGGATCTCTGTGTCCACAAGGACTACTCAGGTGTGGTTCCATATATAAGCACTGCCAACATAGAACTGCCAGTTCTGCAGGTTTGCTTTGCAGGGTGCAGAGAAGCAGTTTTACATGTGGTTTCCACTTAGGGAAGACCGGGTTCTTTTTGGGATGATTACAGAATGGTCCCAGAAGGGGACCATGCTGTGTCAGTTGAGAACCAACATATCTCCTGAGGGACTTTGGGCAGTTGTGTACCCCATATTCCATGCAGGTCTCTCATGAATGGCAATTAATGAGGAAAGAACATGTTCCAGTGAAAACGGCCTTGGCCAGAGGGGCCTCTTACCATCCTTGTTTCAAGGGGACAGCTGATGCTCTGGGTTGTTCTGATACCCTCTGAGAGGCAGAAAGAGGGTATCACTTCCAGATAAAGATGGTGACAGTAATGGTGGTCGGGGAGTATTAGAAGGGAATAGATAGGAGCAAACCCTTTGGGACCTGTAAACAAAGACCCTCATGGTGTCACAGGGTTCACATCTGTTTCCCAAAGGACTCCAACAATACACAAACCTCCTTCAGGGTTTGGGAACTGCTTTTATCTTGACACCTGGTGTGATGGGTTGAGGAATGTCGAAGCTGAGTCCTGGCTCCCTTGGACATGATACGGTGATAGGTAGGTAGTATCTGCATGGACTGGATGGGTGGAGTAATACCACACCACTCCTTCTCTGCTGTCCCTTATTTATTTGCTTCACCTTGCAATAACAAATAAGGATAACTTAGACTTGTGGGGTGCTTTAGACATTACAGAAAGCTCTACCGCAGCCTTTTATGTTTATTTGACCACTAGGGACTCTAGAATAGTCTCTCTCAAACTTTCTGACAGTGATCCAAAATAAGAAATATATTTTCCTATGTAATATTTCACCAGTACATACATACTTACATATACATATGTATACATAGACAGACAGAGGGACAAACAACATATCAGAAAGGAAAGCTTGAAGAAAAGTAGAATACATTCTGATACTTTCTATTCTTTTTTTGCAGTATTGGGATTTGAACTCAGTGCCTCATGCTTGAGGCACTCTACTAGTCCTCTATTCTAATTTTTAAATTCACTAAATTAACTTCATAACTCACTTTTTGCCATGAACTACAATCAGAAAAAACTCTGTTATAGCAAATATAGAAATTTATAACTAAGGAAAATAAGGCAAAGGGCACAACGGTTGAACACTGGGAAGCACCAACATAGAGCACTGACTGGGTGAAAAGGCACATTTCATGGCCTCTCTGAACCGTCCTCCTCACATGTAAGATAGGAGCAGTAATACCTACCTTAAAACCCTGGAAGCCTGAAAGAGCATGATTATGTAAGTAAATCTCCTGGCATGAAAATGGCTTACCAAGTGACAGCTGCTATTGTCATGGTGGCAGTTAAGGCAGAGGTGATGGTAGTGGTAAGTGCCAGTT